GGGGGGCTGGGGTGCTGTGGGACGGGGGCAGGAGCGCTGTGGAGCACCGGGGGTGCTGGGGGTGTCACAGGGCAGGGGTACCTGCTCGCTGGCGATGCCCCGCAGCCAGCGCAGGGTGTCCCCCGCAGTGAAGATCTCCACCTGCCCAGGGCAGTGTCAGACGCCAGGCTCAGTCCAGGGTGACACATGGTGGTGTCCCCTCGGCCAGGCAGCGGCACCGGGCACTCCGCAGCACTCACCTCACCCCTCGTGTTGCTCTTGTTGGGGACCCCCACCACGTACTCTGTGAGGGATGAGAGCCCTGAGTGCCCCAGTGGGACACTGAGGGGGGTACGGGAATACCCCCGGCACTGGGGTGGGCACACGGATACCCCTGGTGCGACATGGGGCCATGAGGGCATAGAGATGGACGGGACCCCTGTCCTGGCACAGCCTGTCCAGCCCCCTCGGGAAGGGACCAAGGTCACTCTGGAGCCCCGGGGTGCCCCAAGCCCATCAACCCCCGTTCCCTGCACCCCTCAGCCCTACCTTTGGTTTTGGGGTTGCCATCAAACTCGCCCACAGCCACCGAGTATCCTGCAGGGAGACGGGCATTGGTGACCCCGGGGTACCCCCGCAGGAGCTGGCAGTGGGGCAGGGTGCCCATGCCCATTGCTCACCCCGGTACCCGTCCTCGTAGTCCCCAGACACCGGCTCCGTGGGGCGCCCGGGGCTCCCCAGCCACAGCAGGGACGTGCCGAGGAAGCGCCTGAGGATCTTGTCCAGCTCCACCGAGTACACGAGCCCTGGGGCACACCGCGGCGGGGAGCACCAGCACTGACGGGGCACCCGCTGCCACACGCCCCAGGCTGCCAGCGCCACTGCGGGTGGCACTTACGGGGTACCGCATCCGGGGTGCCCTCCTCCCGCCGTGCCCACGCCGGGAGCACCAGCCGTGGTGGCAGGAAGGACTCACCTGTGAAGTAGTACCCGCCGGGGGCACCCAGTACCAGCGTCCCATCCTGCGAGAGGAGCTGGCTCAGCACACCCCGGGGCACCCTGGCATCCCCCCAAAGCATCCTCACCCAAGTATCCCCCATCCCAGTATTTCCCATCCTGGCACATTCCATCCCAGCATCTCCCATCCCGGCACCCCCACCCCAGCGTCCCCCCCGCTCCTAGGACCTCTCCTCCCGGAATTCCCACTGCAGCATCCCCCACCTCAGCATCCCGACCCCAATATCCCCCGCCGTGACACCCAGGTACCATCCTGGCCACACCCTCTGCACCTCAATCAGCCCCCCCGGGCATCCCGGATGGCACCCCGGCGGCGCCGCCCCCCGATGCCCCCAAAGTGCCCGAGCCCCTCAAGTCCCCTCTCACCGGGGTGACGGCGGCGCTGAAGCCGATCTCGCAGTAGCGCTTGTCGTGCACTGAGGGCACAGGGCAGGGTCAGACGGACGCGGGGTTGGGAGCCCCCCCGTCCCCCCGACCCCCGCCCCCCGCTCCCCCTCACCGTAGTTCGTCTGGCGGTAGGTGCTGGCCATGGTCTGGTCTCGGCAGGGCGAGTACCACACCGCGCTCCGCTGCCCCGGGCTCCGCACGAAGCAGGTGCCCGTCGGGGTGCGGAACGCCTCGTGCTGCCCCTCCAAAGCGTTCCAGTGCTGCAGCGGGGCACAGACCTGGGCAGGGCGATGGGACAGGCTGGGTGCCCACCCCACCAACACCCAAGGCTGCCCACACCCCCTCCGGATGCACCCACCACCAGTTTGCCGTCCCAGCTGGTGACGGACGCTCCCAGCCACTGGTGCGACTTGTAGGTGTGGAACTCCAAGGTGCCCTGACTCTCGCTCTCGTCCCCTGGGGGAGCGGGAGAGGGGGAATGTGCGGAGCTGGCACCCCCCGCGCCCGCTCCCCGCCCCACGGCGCCCACGCACCCGCAGTGTCGATGGACAGGGGGTGGCAGGGGGTCTTGTCGGGGGGCCAGGAGCACAGGAAGACGGCGCCGGGCTGAGCCACGCCGGGCTGCGAGGTGTTGGCACGGGGGGCCCCCACCGCCACGCTAGGCCTGGGGGGCAGAGCGGGTGTCAGGGTCGACGGGCGTGTGCCGTGCCCGACCCCGACCCCCCGGTGCCTCCCTACCTTCCCTCGCTCATGTGGAAATCCAGGGCGAAACCGAAATAGCTGCCGGGGGGTCCCTCGTAGATGGTGGGGGGCTCCTGGAGAAGCCCCAGCGTGGGGGGCAGGCGCAGCCCCCCGAGGAGCAGCAGCACCCGCAGGAGCCCCATCGTCACCCCAAAATGAGGCCACAGCCGCCGTCCCTGGCTTATCTCGGGGGACGCAGCTGGGGCCGGGCCCAGCAGGAATGGGGAACACAGGAAGGGCCCCCCCGGACGCATATCCGCTCCTGCACGGAGCCGGAGAGGTGCGGGGGAGACGGATGTGGCCGGAGCAGGGCGGGGGACAGGAGGTGGCAGTGCCACCGGGAGACACGGTGACAGAGTGGGGGACACGGCCACAGCAGCCTGAGCCTATCGCCCGCCGGGAGCGCACCCAGCCCGCCGCGGAGTGCCAGGCTCGGGGTGCCTATTTCGGGATGTGCATCTTGGGGTGGCTATTTCGGGGTGCAGGCAGTCCCTACCAGCGGAAATGCGGCGAGGAGGGGAGGGCAGCAGGGCACAGGGCCCCTCCATCTCCCCCGATATCCCCTCCGCAGCCGGATGGAGCTGACAGCACCGAGCCCGCCCGCACTGAGCATCACCCCCACAGCGTCACCTTCCCCAGGGCAGGGACACCCCAAACCCCTGCCAGGGCAGAGGCAGCAGCAGCGCTGGGCAGGGCAATGGCTCTGGCAAGGGACCGAGGGTAGGCTGGGACAGCCCACGGCCAAGTGAACAAAGCATGTCCTTGTCCCCATGTCCCTGTCCCTGTGGGAGAGCCGATGCTCGCAGTCAGGCCTGGGGCAGCCGCGGGGCTCAGCCCTGCCCGGACAGCGGCATCAGCCCCTGAACCCACCTGCTTAATTAATTAATTAATTTTAACTCTGTTAATTAAGCACAGTCAGACTGCCCGAGATCACCGGGGGCTCCTCGTGCCAACCCAGCGCCCGTGGCCGGGAGAGGCCCCGGAGCGGCCCCCGGGGAGGCAGCCCGTGTGAAACGGGGCTTTTCTCCTCTCCGTCTCTGAAGTTGCAGGTGGGAAGCAGGAGAGGAGAGTCGGGGGGTTTTGGGGGGCACAGGGGTCCCCGCAGAGCCAAACGGCAGCTAGCCCCTGACGGGGGACACCGTTCCCGGAGCGGGGTCTGCTCCAGCCCTGCGGAGCAGCTGTAGCTGGGAGAGAGCGGGATTTGCCCAAAGCCGTGGCAGAGCTCCGAGGGGTGGGAAGGGTTTAGCTGAGCCCGGAGCAGCTCCTGCCCAGGGACAGGACACCGGACTCAGGGGCAGCTGCTCCTCTTCGGGAGGTCTCGTCCCCAGCTTGCCGCAGCATCTGAACCCAGCTGGAGCCTACACCAGACCCCCTTAGGGCAATTATAATCCTTTCTTCTGTCCAATTCCTTCATTTCCTGTTTCTTTCAGCACTGCCGCACCATCCCTCATCAGCCACCTCCTCCCAGGGCCACCGCCAGGGACGGGCAGGTGGCACCCCGGACCCCGAGCCTGCTGGCATGCAGGGGGTGGATTTTTTTCCTTTAATCAAACCAGGACTTTGGTTAGGAAAAGTGGCTGGTGCTCTGCACAGCAGCTCCCCCCCTCCCCCCAGCATGACATCTCTTTTTCCACAAATCATTGGTTTATTAGAAAGGTTTTTTTCCCTCATTTTACAGCATATATATATATTTATATATATATCTTATGTGACAAAGTTAAATACAGTCTGTTTATGCTTGTTAAGTAATGACAGGTTAATTATTTTAGCACTATCCTGAAGTCCAAAAACAACCTCTGCCCACAGCACGATGGGGCCAGGGCACGGATGGGCCCTATGAAGCTCAGCTCTGACAGTAACACTGAATTGTTCGGTATTTACAGGAAATTGAGTCCCTTTTTTTGTGACTGCTGCCACTCTGACCTGCTCCAATTTCTCATTTACATGGTGAGGGAGCTCAGGGGGTTTTGATCCTTTGACTCTGCCTGGCCTCGTACTGCACTCCAAGAGGGAACAGGGAAGAGGATGGGAAATGGGACTGGAAAGGGATGGGGATGTCACCACATCCCCACACTGCTCTGAAATCCCTCCCTTCCAGCAGTGGTGGCCCAAGGGCTGTGACACCTGCAGTGCCTGTGAGTGGGGACAGCAGCAGTGGGGACATCCCCTGCACTGGGGTGGGGAAGCTCCCATGGGCAGTGTCACCTGAGCTAGGTGAAGCTGGGAGAACTGGGAAATCCCTCACGGACTAAGTTGGGGTAACCCTCTGTGTGGGCTGGGAACAGTCCCAAGGCTCCTCCTGCACCAGCAGGGTCTGCACATTACTGTTTCCAAAGGGGGGGAAAAGGAAAGGAAAAAAAAGGGCTCCTATTCTCTGGGAGCACCCTGAATTCCTGCTGCTCCCCAGGCTGCTCCAGTGCCTATTCCTATGGCAGGGAGGAATGCAAAACCTGCCAGAGTCACTGCGACCCCCACACCCCTCACCTTGCCCAAGTCTCACCTGTTGATTTTTTTTTTCTTCCGCAAAATTCTAAATGAAGATTTTTTTGTTTTTACATTTTATACTACATAAAAACTTCAAAAATACATGAGCTTGATAAAATATACATGCTTAGCTGTTCTGCATCTAGCTGAAACTATAAATTGAACCTTTACAAGTGTCTTGGGTCACCTACGGCAAACATATTTACACAGAAGCCACCAGAACAAGTACCACTAAGAACTGGCTGTAAAAAATATTATTGCGATATACTACAAATGTAACCTTTGATAGGAGCTACAAAAAGCAGCATCTTTGTTTACAGAGTTCAGTGCAATTCTTTACATAAAAAAAAAATCCTATAAATTAATAAGGAAACCATCAGTGTTACAGAGGAAAGAACACGTTTTACATCCAGGCCGCGCTCCCCTGTCCTCTGTATTGCTTCAATTCCTAACAGGATTTTCCTTCTCTCTCCCATCCCAGTGCCTCTTTCCCAACCCTACAGAAGATGGAATTCAGAGTGATTTTTTCCCCCTTTCAAGAGAAGAGTGGTCAAAGCCCAGACTGGAAGCCCAACCCCAGAACCTCTCTCCAGTATGGGATATCCAGGCATGGTCCTGGTGCAGGAGAACATGGATGCAGGATGGAGAAGGGAGCTCTGGGCACACACACAGAGCTCCTCCTCCTCTTTACACTAAGATCTTACTTCCACCTTTGCTGCTCGCACCAAGAAAAACCCACGTCTGCAGAGACAGAGGCCAAGGAACCTCCTGCAACGCCTGAAAAGCTGAGGCCTCCAGTCCTCCTGCAGCCAGCAGCTCCCGATGTTCCATGACCAATTACAAGCCGGATTCAATCATGCTATTTAATTAGATGACCTCATTAAAAGGATTTTTAGAGATCCTATTAGTGTGTATGAAACCTCATTTATCATATACAAGGTGGCAGAAGGAAGATGACCAAGTGTAAGAATCCAGGGGGAAAAAAAGCCTTTCCAAGTGTTTCGCTGTTCTGAAGGTGAAATGGTTCTTCTGGAGCGGTGCTGCTGCGTGCACGGAGGAGTCGGAGTGAGACTTCCCTGGGACACAGCCAACTGCCTAGCCCTGGAGCCCCTGGCTTCTTTGGCTGCTCAAGAGTGAAAGGAAATGCTCAGGCCTCACCTGCCCGCTGGCTCGACTCCGACCCCTGACCAAAATGCCAAATATTCTCCTTCCTCCGAGGTTCCTTCATTTTGTCCTTCATGTGCCGTGGCTGGGTGGATGCTGCAAGTCCTGTCCTGAGAAAATGGGGTGCAGCAGGGGGTGGAGGTGCAGGGCTGTGGCAGCAGCAGCAGCTGCTGGCCTTGGAGCCAGGAGGGTTGGGTAGAGAGCGTGAGGGACAGGGTGGAAGGTGAAGGGGCCCGGGTGGATGGCAGATGCCGGAATGATGTGGATGGGGTGGCTGGCCAGGAACGTGGCGGGGTGCCCCGGAATAATCGAGTGGGTCAGGTGGGACAAGGAAATGGGTGTCAGGTGTGGCTGGGGGATGTGGTGGACCTGAGCGAGGGGCTGCGGGTGCGGGTGGGGGTGGATGCCGATGGCGGCGGCGGCGGCAGCGGCGTGGTGCTGCAGGATGGCGTGCTGCACCGTCGTGATGGACGTGGCCGAGGCCGCCGCCGGCTGCTGGATGTGGATGGGCTGGAGCGCGGGCGCGGCCGGAGCCAGGGCGGCCGAGGTGGGGAAGGCCTTCACTTGCTTGGCCAGCAGCTGCTGTTGGATGTGCTGCTGGGCCGCCTGCTGCAGCTTGCTGTACTTCTCCATCTCTTCGGGCGTGAAGGTGATGGGCTGGCTCTCCAGCGGGGCTAGAGAGGAATCTTCTCCCCCATCCCGATCTCCTTCCAGGCTCGGCTCCCCACTCTGAGGCACGTAGCCAGGAAAGTGCTCAACATCTGGAACTAAGGGCATCATACTGGTTTCCACTTGGACTGGCTGGCTGCCCCCGTCCATAGGCTCCAGCCCATCACCATCGCTTGGATCCGAGAGGAAGTTGTGTGGCATGACCAGATCTCCGGAGCCAAAGCACTCAGGAAGTGCCGGAGCGTCAAGGGGAAGGGATGGCATCTCCACAGAGGCTTCGTCACGTTTCTGCTCATCCAGAGGTTTGTCCTGAATTACCATCACCACATCTTCCAGGAGAGACTGGCTGGCCAGTTGACCCTCCTCCATGCCTTGGGAACCATCCTCAGCATCTGACAGCTCCTGCTCCTCACCCCTCTCCAAGCCAGACTCCTCATATCTTTTGGAGTTTGGTTTCCGAATGGTTGGCAACTTCCCAATTAAGGGCAGAACCGGTTTGTTGCCTAAGGAAGGAGGGAGTTTGGGGCCAAAGTAGCCCTGGGGAGGATCTTTGAGCTTTATGCCCACTTTGTTTGCTCCTGATAGCATCTCGTCAGTGACGCAGGGCTTCTTCTCAACCTTCCTGGACTGCACCTTTTCCAAGAGCAGCTTTGCAGTGACGGAGTTCCTCTCCTCAGGACTGCAGTCCCCTTCCGAGGCCCGCCCCATGCCAGAGCCGCTGCTGTTCTGGGACAGGGAGCTAGATCCTTTCAGATCCTCTCCCTTGCCATCCTCCTTCTTCGGCAGCGACCCTTCACCTCGGCCCGTCCGGAAATAGTGAGGAGACTGGGAGCGATAGATCTTGGACCTAATGAAGTCCCTTCTGCCAGACCTTCGCTCCTCGGGGCTCTCGTGGCCCCGCGAGCCCTTCCGTGACAGGGACCTCTGCGAGTGGCTGCGGGTGCTGCGGCTGCGGTCCCGGCTGTAGCTGCGGCTGCGCTTCCAGCTGCGGCCTGTCACGCTGCGGCTCCTCCTCTTGCTCCGACTGCGGCTGCAGCTGCTGCTGCGGCTCCTGCCCCGGCTCCTCGATCTTGACCTGCCTCGAGGGTGGGTTCGGCTCCTGCTCCGACTCCTGGACCTGCTCCTGCTCGAGCTGTAGTCATCTTCTGACGAGGAGTATTTGCGCCGCTTCGAGCGGTGGTTTGAGCTGTTGTAGTCGGAGTCATCCTCCGAGTCCTGGGAGCGCTTGGAGTGGCAGCGGGAGCGGTCGCTGTAGTCGCTGTAGCTGTCGTCCGAGTAGCTCCTGTGGCGGCTGTAGCGGCTGTGCTCCGAGGATGCGTCCGAGCTGGTGGAGTAGGACCTGTGCGAGGAGTGCCTGCGGCCCGAGCGGGAGCGGCTGCGGGAGTGCTCGCTGCCCGAGTCGTAGTCATCGCTGTACTGCGACGGGGACTTCTGGTGGCAGTGCTTGCCAGGGGAGCCCTCGTCACTGTCATCATCGCCACTGCTCTGCTGGCTCCGGCAGCCGCTCCGGGGCTGGGACAGAGCCGGGCAGCGCCTCCTCGCACCAGGCACCTGTTGCAGCTCAGCCTTGTGTCTTTTGCTGCCATGCTCTTGGCAGGAGTTACCCCCGTCCTCTTTTTTACTGCTGCTTCCCTCCTCAGCAGACAGGGATTTCCTCTGGGACTCCTGGGAGCATCGCTTTTTCTTCTGGAAATGGCTGCAGTCTTCAGACAGTTCAGGTTTCAGCGCCCGGTCTGACTCTGTTGAAAGGGAGGATTTACCTTTTTTGTGCCTGTGCCTTTTCCGTTTCTTGGGTTTCTCTTCCCCCAGCTCAGCTTTCCGGGCCTTCTCCTCAGCTTCCTCCTTGTGTTTGCGTTTGTGTCTGCTGGACTTTTTGTGCTTCTTTTTCTTTTTGTGTTTATGGGACCTTCCAGATTTACTCTTACCCGTTATACTCTTACTGCTGTCCTCTCCTTCTCCCTTACTGATGCTTCCCAGACTGGACTCCTGCTTGCTCTGGGATTTGTTTTCCGTTTTTTGAGCAGAACTGTTCTCTACACTTTCGGCCTCCTTGGCTTTGCTCACCTCACCAGGTTCTGTGCTCTGAGTGTTGTCTTTACAAAGGCCCCCTGGATCCTTGGATTTCTCTGCCCCTTTCCCTTTTGCATCCTTGTTACGGGAGAGCTTGAAGTCGAAGTACAGGGGGTTACAGCTGTAGGACACAGAGGGCTCAGCTTTGGTGAAGATGAGCAGCTCTGAAGGCCACTGCAGTGTCGTGCTCTCATCCTTACTCAGAACAGGGAAAAAAGGTCCCGTGGGGTGCTTTGGTCCCTCAGAGCCATCTCTGCAGCCCGAGGCAGGAGGAGGAGCTTCTTTAGCAGTGTCTGGCTCCGGGGGATTGCTCTCTGGAAGGTGCTTGCTCTCCTGTGTATTTTCATTCTCTGGGATGTCTTTTCGTTCTGTTTTGTCCTGCTGAGCTACAGTTTCAGTAGTACTCTGCTCTTTCTGCTGCCCCGTGCTCTCAGCAGCCTTTTCCGTGTGCTTGCTGGGCTTGGGTTTGGGGGAACTCCCCTTTTTCAATTCGTGCGCGTTTTTTTTGTTCACATTTTCTGCTTCCGTTTGCTCAGTAGCCTTCATGAAAAGCAGGAACTGAAAGTTGGGCTTTACTTTACAGTGGGCTGGGGGGATGTAGTGGTAATATTCTGGCTCCACGGCCGTTGGTCCATCTTCTCGCCTCATCTTCTTCAGTTTGGATAAGGTGCTGGCCAGAGCCCCGCTGTCCTTGTCGTGCTGGTCATCGTCCTCCGCCTTGCCATCAGAATTATTGGTGCCTTCACCCTCCCCAGACTTCTGCAGGCTGCCAGCCTCCGAGGACCCCCTCTCATCACCTTTTGCCCCGTCTGCAGAACTGGACTCATCCACGTGGTCCTTGAAAACAGAAGCAATGGTCTCCAGCTTCACTGGGGTCTTCTTGGCAAAGGAAAAGGACACGCCAATCTTCTGTAGCGGAGTTCCCAGAGAGCTCTTAATGCCAAAGCTGATGGCCTGTGCCCCCTGTGATGTCTGGCCTGGCATCACAGTGCCTTGTCCAGTGTTCAGGAAGCCTCTGTCCGTGGTCATCTCTGAGGCCTGGCCGGAGCTCATCTGGACGAAGGAGCCGCTGTTGGCTGCGGAATCATCGTCGTCTCCACCTTCCTCGTCCACAGCCACTGTGGTGGTCCTGAACATGGGCCCACTTCCAGGAGCACTGGAACAGGGGAGAGAGAAAACACAGCTTACTGGTGTCCCTGTCCCTCTGCAGGAGGATCCATCCCTCAGTGGAGACAATCTTACACAGTTCAAGTGCTCTTGCACCCAGACACATGCATTAAAATATCATTATACAGCCACTCAAAGTTTTTAATAATGGTAAATTACTGAAGAAAATGTATTGCTGGATAAAGCAATTTGGGGATGCTCTCCATGATCAGTTTAGTGAATTCACGCCTACCAAAAGCCCAGCATGAGTCCCAAACACCAGTGTGAAACTTTGCCCCCAAAGCCTGTGCAGTATCCCAGAGCAGGAATGCCAGCCCAGCCCAGGGCTGCAGCCCCCCAGGCTCCAGGGGTGTTGGGGACCACCCAGACTCACCACTCAGGCTGCCTCCTCTGCTCAGCCAGCTCGTGCAGGCGCCGCAGGGCTTTCTCCTGCTTCCTCTCATCTTTCCGGGATCTCGACGAGACATTGCGAGCAAATTCCCTTTGCTTGAGATCTTTCAACCTCTGAGGCAAAAGAAAGCAGGGATGGGTCAGATCAAAGCTGTCTGCGGCTTGTCCAAGAGCAGCTCTTCGATGTAGCACTGGAAATTGCGGTGTCAAGCCCCTCCCCAGGGACATTCATTGAGCCAAGATGGAGCAACAGCATCTTAGCTCAACAAACCCCACGGAGCACACTGCCATCCTCCCAGCAGCTGAAGGAAAAGACAACTGGTGGTCACTTTTGGCTATGACTTCAAGTTCTGTGTATACCCCTTTCCAATCAACACTACTGGTTTTCTTTAGCATGGACAACAAAGCTGATTTTGAAGCAACAAGCAAATTCTGGAAGGAAAAGGGGAAAAGAAGAAGGATTGTTTACTTTGCTGCTCTTGCAGCGTGCAGATGTACTTGACAAACAGTGCATGACACGAGTCAAAAGCATGGGCCAAGGGACAGGAGGGATTAGCTGGTGCCAGAGCTACCCAGGAATGACATCTGACAAAAGCAATGTACCATTACATTGGAGAAGGAGCCAAAAATCCCATGCAGATGATTTCATAAGCAAACCCAGAGTACAACATACACCACAACCAGTTACTTGTTTTCCTGACAGTAGTTCTGAGAGGGTCAAGAAACAGACTGCTCTAAAGGCAGGAGGGTCTCTCGGGGTTGAATACTTTGGGGGGGGGGTGGGGCAGAAGCACCAAGTTCCCCAGAAATCTTATCATGAGGGAGCAAACCCAATCCCAAGGAATTTCAAACATCCTAATATCACTGAGGAAGTCTAGGTAGTCAATTCTAATAGAAAATAAACATCCAAGACTTCAGAACATTTTGGAAAGTCCTTGTCTCAGAGCACTAGGGAGAAGAGGCTGCTGGTTTTTCTTGGAATATATGTGGATATTCACAACATTTTTTTAGAGTGCTCTACAGAAGTTTAAGTAACAGAAAGCAACAAAGACAGACCTCTACCATCCTAAAGGGACTCATTGTTTTTTTTAAGTGCACAGTTCAAAACCCTTTCAAAGGGCCCAGTTCCAGAACGCATCCTGTACTCAGCTTTTGGAAAAAGTTTCATGTTTTTCAGGCATTTCATGCAGGGCCTGGGAGACTAACGAGACTCAGAGCAGGAGTCACTTTGGAACAATTCTTGTACAGGATGTACAAATCACTGGTGAATTCTAAATACTTCTGGCTGGCTGACTCTGCCTCTTTCCTGGAGCAGAGTCAGACTGCCACACATAGAAACAGTGGATCTGGAAACCAACCCAAAGCTCAAATTAGAGGAATTAAGCTGGCCCAATGTAAAGAGAACATTGCTTTGTGAAAAAGGGAGAGATTGGACAAGACAGAGGATTCTCTTACCTAATTGTATTTACTAAATGTGGTTGATTGTTACCAAAATCAGAGGGGAGGACACACAAAAAAGATACAACTACAGACACCAGTAGAAAGAAACTCACTCTTGTGATCTGGACTCCCAAATTAGAAGGGTTTGCTTTCAATACATCAGCTGAAAACGTCACATCACAAAGAAAAAAAGAAAGTAAAAATATAACAAGAGTGGAAGAGAGGAAAAAAAAAACCCAACAAGCAAGCATTACTAGAGAGCTGTGGGGGAGTGTGCCAGCTACTCTACGGAGCGGGAGCGGAGCCACAGGAGCGAGCCAGGGTCTGCAGCAGGGACACGCACGGACACGCACGGACACAGCCATGATCCCACCTGGAACAGCAGAGCTACTCTCACCAGGACAAGTAAAGGGCTCAAGGGTTTTGTGGGTATGTTACATGTTGAGGAGTACATTTTTTTTCCAAGAGGAAGGAAAAAAAAAATAAAATAGATGGACTGAGCAATGCTATCAGCTTTTTCATGCTGATTTTGAAAGTGTGTCTGAAATGCTCTGGGAAGTTACAGCCACCAACAGCTGACAAAACTATTTAATGGGGGCTGATGCCAAGTCTAGAGATCACTCACCCATCTGGAAAAAAGTATGACCCAGCTATTTACCAGACATGAACTGTGACCTTTTCCTCCCGAGAGGAAGGTGCAACGGTGCACTCAGAGCCCCCTGAGCCCCAGGCATGGTCCTGATCATCCCCCAGGACACAAAGTGGGCTCAGAGCTGTTGGGAACATGCAGCTGCCCCCAGGCTCTCCTGCCTCCATTACATGGCAATTTGAATGCACACAGAATTAAATGCCCATTATTAAATGCTGACCTTTGTGTGTTTCTGCTCCCCCAAACCTCCCACTCTCAACACTTCAAATTTAGAGGTGTGAAGCAAATGAACTACCCCAAAGCACTGTAATCCAGAATATGCACCACAGCAACTCCCAGCTGCACCCAAACCTGGGCCCTTTAGGCTGACAAACCATTGGCCCTGGCGTCAAGACTGCTGAGAATTTGGTACTTCCAAAACTGGGGAAGAGTTGGTCTGGTTTTCAAAGGACCAAGAGATCTCAAGGCTGAGTTTCTTTTTCTCACACAGGAGTCAGGAGGAAAAAGAATCTTGCTGGGGAAGTACAGGATAGAAAAGCTCACAAATGCACTGTGCCAGCTCCTTGGAAATGCAAAATACTGAACAGAACATAGCTCAGCTTCTTAGACTGAACTAAACCAGCAGACCTATCACCAGAAATTACTCCAGGTGTGCAAGAGACCTGGCTGGACTGCATTACCTTCCCTAAATGCATCCTGGGGGAGGGAAAAGGGGGAAAACAGGAGCCCACACTGCTCATCTGTACGAACAACCTGCTGCAGGAATGAAAAATACCCAGAATTTTCAAAATAACTTGTAACTCTCCCCTCGTTCTTTCAAATATGTCACTGAAACCAGTGATTCATCCCCTCAAGAGTGGATAACCAGTGCAGTACAGCCATGCCCACTCTGCTGCCCAGTCCTGACTGGGAAGGAGCAATCCAAAGAGAGTTTCACTGGCTGAAGGGAGCACGTGGAGCACTGAAATGCTGCTCACACACTTCCAGGTCTCAGCCTGCCCAGGAAATCATCTGAACTAAACAGATATTTAAGCTCAGCTTACACTGAAGAAATTTTCATCTAATCCTGAGGAGAGTGTTATTCTAATCCCCCAAAAACCTCTAAATGACTTTTTGGACCACACCATCTGTGCAGGTGTGAGTGAGACTGGAGGTGCATGGAACTGCCCCTTCCCCAGCACCATGGAGAAATTCCAACATGGATTTAACACAGCCACTCAACCATCCTCAGGGAGCTTCTCCCCTCCACAAGGAGCCCTGGGAACTCATACTGTTGAGGTGAATCTTCCCTTTTAAAGTATTCCTACTGTGCTTAGCAAGACAATGATTTCTTTCTTCAAGGATTAGAGCCAAACCTGTATTAAATCAAACACATGCTTCATGCTATTACAAGATTTCAAAATTAAGGGGCATTTTTTTTCTCCCTGGGCAGTGTGTTTTCTGAGGAAGCAGCAGTTTATCCAAGCAGCAACATCCTTCCAAACTGCAGGATCATGGGGACATAAAGCCAAGGAATATTCTGCTGGTTTATTACTTCAGCTGTCAGAAGGGCTACACTGCAGTGACCAGCAGTGACACAAATCACCAGCACTTACATAAAATTTCTCCAGATTTCCACATGCTGTAGGCAGTAGTTCACTACCTCCAGCCTTCCTGGGGTCTATTAATAGCTGCCACCCCCCTCAGCTTTGGAACAAAGAACTGTAATTTAAGTTTCCAGCCTTGTTTCTAACAAAATTCCAAACTCGTCTCTGCACTTCCACAGGAGTGCAAATAGAGTTCCTAAAGAGCAGGTTTGATATCAAATCTGCAGCTACCTCTGCTCTGCAGCACAGAGAGGCCACAGTGCTGGATTATTTCCCAATCCCTGCATGGCTCAGGAGGGGCCAAACTGGCAAACACCACCAGTACCTTCCAATTCTCACAAACCAGCTTAAACCAGCTGCACCACTGCTGAAAAGCTCCTGAGAGCCCATCCCGGGCACAGCAAAGGGGGGAAATCCAGGGGGGTGAGCAGGAGTCAGGAACTGCTGCAACAGGAAAATCACTGGGTCATCACAGAACGTCCTAAGTAGGAAGGAACCCCCAAGGATCATCCAGTCCCACCCCTGGCCCTGCACAGACACCCCAACAGCCCCACCCCATGAACCCCACCTCTGGGAGTGCTGTCCAAGCACTCCTGGAGCTCTGGCAACCTCAGGGCCATGAAAAAAACTCAGCACACCCCAGATTTTGTTGATGAGATGGTACCAGGTAAGACTTCCCCAGAACCCAGCTGGGGTGCAGAGCTTTACAGGCTCAGGACCAGCAGTAAATGGATTTTCTCCATTTAAGCTGACAAAGCCACACATCATCACTGAACTGAGGCCCAGTGAGAGACATTCTGCCTAAAAATGCAGAGCAGAAAGAGCCCCTGTTATTCTCACAAGACAAAAGCACTGTCACCAGACCTGAAGATGTGAGACTTTCATGCCAAACCTCACACTGAGATGGGTCAAAGCAGATCCACCTCTGGGGCTCGAGGCAGGAGGCAGCACCCATGACATCAGAGCCCCCTCCTCCCTTGCCATTGTTCTCATGTCTCTCTGCCAACCCACATTAAATAAAATAATAATAATAATGTACTTTTCATTCTGTGCCAGCAGATTTCTTGCTTTCTGAACTTTTGATGTCTGCTTGATTCTTTGCCCCAAAAGCTTTTGGGAGTGAACGACACCATGAAACACAAGCTCAAAGGATGGGAACCTTGATCAGTTTACTGAAGTAGGAACACAAGCCTGGCTTATCTTTGGTCATCAACATTCCTTGCACGCTTATAAATGAAGTGAAAAGAACAGAGGGGAAATGGCCTGCAAATGCTGTTCTATTTCATCTTAATTTCCTCCCCGGAAGGAATCAATATTTTTCTTAGCTGGATTAAGAAAAATATAGAATGGGTTGGGTTGGAAGGGACCTTAAAGCTCACCAGTGCCACCCCTTGGCATGGGCAGGGACACCTTCCACTATCCCAGGCTGCTCCAAGCCCCAGTGTCCAACCTGGCCTGGGGCACTGCCAGGGATCCAGGAGCAGCCCCAGCTGCTCTGGGCACCCTGTGCCAGGGCCTGCCCACCCTCACTGGGGAGAATTTCCTCATCATCTCTAACTCCAACCTACTCCCTTCTCAGTTAAATCCATTCCCTTTTATCACTCCATGCCCTTGTCCAAAGTCCCTCTCCAGGTCTCTTGCAGCCCCTTTATTGTTAAGGTGGGTCTTCCAAGGGCAAAGCATTTCTGGAGCAGAAGAACCTCCCGTGTAACACCAAATACCTCAGGGATTCCCTCCTCAGTCTTCTCCATTCAAGCCGTGCTTGGAGGCCCAAGGTTTTGGAAATCTCAAGTGTCCCCAAAACATAAAGTTCAGGGTTTACATTCAGAGTATTCCTCAACCCCAGCAGTGACTGTCTTGGTCACATTATTGTGCTTGAACACATCCCTCCCCCTCGGCATGAGAAGCAAAGATGCAGCCAATTAGGGCACAAAGAGAACTGCACATCTATACCTTCAGTCTGAGTTCCACCCTCTTTCCCAAAGAACTTCTTTATGGAATACACTCCCTTTGCCCTTTTACAAAGAGAATCTAGGCAGAATTAATCCCCTACACCTACAAAACACCACATACTTAGGGGAAAAACCAGCTACATAAAAATCTGCATTTCAATGCTGGTTTGTGCTCTCCCAGGGAACCTGGCACAGGTTCACTCAGGAACACGTTTGTTTTGCACAGGCAATGCAGAAGGGGAATGTTTTGATTCTGTTGGGTCAGTGACTCAGTAAACAGCTCGAGCCCTCAGCAGGCACACAAGCAGAACGAGGTGATGGTGGGAGATTCTCCAAGTTCTTGGATTGTTAAAAACCCCCCACAGTAAAAGCTGACTGGAAATGCTACATAACTTACACAGAAGGTAATTCCAACCATAACTCTTGAAGGCTGCTTCAGGTGCTGGGCCCTGCACATCCAGGTTTATTTGTCAGGAACACACAGACTGGGCACAACCCAGACAAGGGGCTCGTACTCCTCTTCACACAAATCTAACATGAGGTCTTTATCTTAATATCAAAACCCCAAACCAAATAAGGAGTCCTCAGAGGTGTAATGCCTTAAGGACACATTCCCACTGAGTCCAGAGTGTTCTAGGACTGTGGGAGCTCCCAAGGATCAGGACATTGTGAATCTGCAGGAAAGCAGCACAAAAATCACAGACTGGTTTGGTTTACAAAAGATCCTGAAGATTACCTTGTGCCACGGGCAGGGACACCCTGCACTATCCAGGCTGCTCCAAGTCCTGTCCAACCTGGCCCTGAACACTTCCAGGGATATACACTGTGTCCAGCTTCACCACCCAAGCTCCTTCTTAGCTACATAAGTTTTCTTTCTACATTTGCCATCTTCTGTCTGTTAATTATTATTAATTATTACACTGTTGACTGTCAGGATTGGGCATCATCAGGAGTGGAGCCCTTCATAACCTACCAGGCCTTCAAGACTAAAATCCTGCAGCTAAAAACCCCACCATTAAAGACATCAGCAGCAGTACAAGAAGTTGTGAGCTGCAGTCTTTTCCAGCTGCTCACTGCAGGGTGTGTGAGAGAGCTGAGCTTATTGTCCCTCCTGCAGGGCCACCTGCACCCACTCCAGCTGCCTGCAGTCCTCTGAGAGGGACAGGCCATGTGCTGACCAGAGGGTGACTGCCCCTTAAAACAGCTGCACTTCTCATCAAGTATCAACCTAATTAAAACCAGCTCCAGAACGACACTGCACACTTCCAACACAATGGCTAAAACATGTCAGTGGCTTGGGAGAATAAATGCAAGGATTTTTTCCCAGGTAAGGAAATGCTGCCTTTTGGAGAAACTTGGTGTTGAGGTTGATTCAGATGTAGCCAAATGGTCTGTGAAACCAGGACAGGCAGGAAGCAAAGAGAATAAACCTCCCCTTTAATTGTTTGGTGTTGACATAATTTTGGTGGGTCCAAAATTCATCCGGTTGGGATCAATACACTTACCTATCATCCCTGTTGGGCAATAATCCCGAGTTCCTTCCTGGAATACAAGACAGTGTCTTTATAACTCGGGAGTGGAAAGGGATCTGAGGATGGAACATCTATTTACAAGGACAGCCTAGTGCTCGCAGAGCCACAGAGGGATAACCAAACACTTCAACGTCAGCAGGATGGGGAACTAAAAATACTTAAAAGCAAAAATGTTGTGGAAACTGAGCCAAGAAAAAAGCAAAAACGAGCTCTGTTGCCTCAAAAATTACTACTGAGACAACAAAATCTTGCAGATGATGTATACCAAGCTGGGATGCTGTAACTAAGATATTGTAATGGCCTTTCTTTCCAAGAAAGCCAACTGATGGCCTACTTTTAGGGAAAAGTTCATGTTTTTCCTCAAAAACTTTAGGCTCACCTTTCTACAACCTCGCCCTCTTGTCCAAAGAGACAAACTATAAAACATCAATGTGCAACATATCAAAAACACAGCTTTTTTTTCTTTAACTCTTAAGATTCAGACTGGACTGCTGGGTATGAGCCTCCCTGGAGCAGGAGGGAGCACAGCAGAGATAATGTTCCTTATGCAAATTCACTGTCATTTTGTCTCGGGGGTTTCAAGTTCACTCCCTGAACGCTGACCCAGCGGGGTCACACACATTTCAGCCCGACAAAGCTGGATAAGCAATTTTTTCCCTAAGCAAAGCATGATTGCTTCTTTGTTTAAATCCCTCTGTAACTAGAAATTAATGCTGGGTGATGCAGCCAGAGTTTGGAGGCTCATTTTCTCCAAAGCCTGCCTGAAGTGACTGCAATAGATGGAATTATCCAAGAACATAATTCCTCTCAAAATAATCAGCAGTACCAAGCAACCTCCAAATTCTTTCTCCTGATGAGATGACCCAACCCTGTGTGCACACAAGACATTTTTCTCTCAGGCCACTCCTGCTGATGACTCCTTTTACTGCTTTCCACAGGTTGGTTTCTTCCTCCACAGCATCTCCAGCTGCTGAGCCCGGCCAGGCTCACGTCAGTGTCCCATCAGTCACCGAGGGCTGGAGCAGCTCACGGAATCCCACGGCGTCAGCACACCAAGAATGTGACACAAACAGGTCCTGCCACCTCCCAGATAAATGCAGGTCACTACACTCAGGTTTCAGCCAAACTGATGGAGACCTTCCAAGGAAGTTCTCTGCTCTCAGGCGTCACGACTGAGCTTGGCGAAAACCACCCCTTTGCCCAACAACCAAAGGAAAAAATTAATTTCTGCTCTTGATTCTACCAAACCACTCCTCTTCACAGAGCCCAACAGCCCTGCCATGAGAATTCCTGACAAGACTCCCTTAGCTCAAAGCAGATTCTCTGTCATATTCTACACTTAATACACACAAACAAAAATTGTACTCTAAAGCCACATTCTTGTTTACAAGCTGTTTTCACTGCTATTTTGCAAGCTCTACAGCACATCCTCCTCGAGTTACCAGCATTTTGATGACCGTGTTGTTAGAATTTATGACTAGGAACATTAAACCCCTCCTCTGAGCCCTTCCAGCCCTGGAGGAGCCCAACACTGCTATCTGCTGTGCAGTTACATCTCATTTAGCAGCTTAAATGGTCAAACAGATCAGGCTAACACAAGAACTTCCATTACTTACTGTGCAGCATGAAGCACCCTGCAGACACTACAGTACATCCCTAGCTTGGGAAAAAAGCCAGCTCCACAGAGACTCTGAACCCACCTTCTCTTGAGAATTACAGAATTTGGAAAGTGCTCCTTTCTTAGGATTCCTTTGACACAGCCCATTGTTTCCTAGTCCATTTTCAGTAACTCCACAGAACACAGCCTCAGGTAGTAAAATGTGGGGAATCACCACTCCCCAAAGCTGTACTAATGCTAAAAGCAAGCTGGGAGCCATCCACCTCCATGTGTACTCTCCTCAGTTTTACACCAGCACATCCCTGCCCGCGGGTCTTTGAGAAATGGGGCTCCTTGATGCCAACCATGGAGTGGGGCTTGGGGTTCTTCTGTTGTTTTGGGAACTTAAATGATGATGGGCATAAAAATCTTATCCAGCGACATAGAACACCTATTCCAGGACCAGTAAGGAAAACATACACCAGGGAAACTCCAAGTATTAACCACAAACAAGACCACCACAATGAACATCAAATGGACGAACTGTGCTGTTTACAACTGGTTACCTGCTTGTGAGCATGGTCATAGGAGTTTATGTGGTTGTCAAACTCCTGGTGCTTCTGATACTGCTTGTCACAGAGTTCACAGTAGAAGTTTGCTCTGAGGTCTTCCAAAGCCTTGGCAATGGCCTTTTCTTTATCAACATAATCCTGAAAAATTAACAAAAAATTGCCTCTGTTAAGTGTCCTCTAGAACAATCTGGATGATGAGTTAGTCCTTTAAGGAAAAATAGTGCTTAATAAAAACTTAAGTGTACATGGATTACATTTATTACAGGTTGTCTGAGGTTGGAAAACGCCTCCAAGATCACTGGGTCCAGCCTGTGCCCAATGCCCACCTTGTCCCCAGCCCAGAGACTGAGTGCCACATCCAGGACTTCCTTGCACACCTCCAGGGATGGGGATTCCACCCCTGCCCTGGGCAGCTTCCCTTTCAGTGAAGAAATTTACCCTAATATCCAATCCAACCTCCCCTGGCCCAGGCTGAGGCCGTTCCCTCTCCTCCTGTCCCTGTTCCCTGGAGCACAGCCCGACCCCCCCGGCTGTCCCCTCCTGTCAGGAGTTGTGCAGAGCCACAAGGGCCCCCTGAGCCTCCTTTTCTCCAGGTTGAGCCCCTTCCCAGCTCCCTCATCCTCTTCTGGGGCTCCAGCCCCTTCCCAGCTTTGTTCTGGGCACTCTCCAGCCCCTCAGTGTCCTTCTAATCATGAGGTGCCCAGAAGAGGACACAGCACTTGAGGTCCCTCAGCAGTGCCAGCTCAGGGGACAGTCACTGCCCTGCTCCTGCTGCCACCCCAGTCCTGGGACAGGTGCCACTGGCCTCTTGCCCACTTGGGCACACCTGGGCTCATGTCCAGCCTCTGCTGACCAGCACCTCCAGGTTCTGTCCAGCTTTCCATCATTTTGCCCTCACCTGGAACCTCCCACGGGGTTTGTGTGACCCAAATGCAGGTCCCAGCACTTGGCCTTACTGAACCCAGCTGACCAAGCTGAGCAGCCTTTGCAAATTCACAGGTGGGATTCCAGAACTTCGCAACGCTGCCGACCTCAGTGCTATTTGTTACCCACAATCACAGAATATTCTGTGCTGGAAGGGCCCCACAAGGACTGAACACCCCCTGGCCACTGCAGAAGTACCACTAAAAGAAGACTGCTTCAAACAAGGCCTGCAGTGCTGATGGGGCGAGGCAGCTCTGCCTCAGGGGAGCCTCCTGGATTGTCTGTGCTCCAAGGAGAGGTTCAAAGCCTCGAGCTAACCCAGAGACATACTGCCATCAAACCTAGGAGGATCCCTGCCTTGGGAGCAGAACCTCACACCTCTAAAACTGACACTGCTCCATTCTGAGTGCTAAGAGATGTCTGCTTGATCTTGGCTTAGCTGCCTGAACTCGGGAGGGAGGAACATGGCTCCAGCTGGGAATTACCCTTCAGAGCCTGCCAGGCCCAATCCCCTCCAGTGAAATATTCCCAGGAGCAGAACTGTCCCCAGGATGGGCTCAGCACACTGCCTACACTGCAGTGGGCACAGGGAGCTGCAGTTAATGGGAGGGAGGCCTTGGGGTGCTGACAGGGTCTCTCCCCTTCTACAGCTGAACACCTGCACAGGTGGAAACCAAACCTCCAGGCAGAGATGGGGTATCTCACGTGGCAACAGCCACATCCTCCTTCCCTCTTTTGCTACAGGTTTTGAATATGCACTGAGCTCTAGGACTAGGGAAATCCCAGTCCCTCAGGTGGCTGCACTGGCTGGAAATCCAGGTGTGGAAGGAGCCTGTGCTGTCCCCAGGGCTGCTGCACATGTGGGGGGCTCCGAGACACGCCTGATGCTGGGACACAGGCACCTCAGGGCTAGGCAGCTGTTCCCTCTTGCCAGGCTGTATCAATCACAACCCCCCCAGCAGAATTAATAAAACATCACCACTCTTCATCAGCTCTCTGGGGGAGGTTTACCCTGAGGAGGTGGAAGGCTTTACTCAAAATCAGTTACAAATGCTGCATCACAAAGCCCACTGCACTCGCTGCAGCATTCCCTATATAACCATTCACCATAGGCATTTCAACTGGAATAAAGAGAAATTATATTAAAAAACCAGCCTAACATTAGAGAAAAAGCACTTAAGGATCCTTTTTTCCATCTTCAATACAAACCTCCTATGGGAAGCTTCCTTCCTCAGCAAGAGGAGGCAGCAAACATTTAAGACAGAAAACTTTGAAAGGTGTTTTCCTTTGAATTTCAGACCTTGTTCATGGCAATATGGTTTATCTCCTAGTTACCACATCAAAATAACATCACTGAGCATGTTTTATATGATATAAAATTTATATTAAAAAATTCAACACCCAAGGAGAGGAAAAACATATCTAAAAAATGTTAGTGCTCATGTCTGGGATTGTTTTCAATTTCAAGCACTGTTCACTTCTACATAAAAAAGGAAGCAACTTCCTGCTTCCATTTATTACCAGATGCCCTTGACAAGGAAAAAAAAAAAAAAAAAAAAAAAGAAAAACATCAACAAATCTGGAGTTTTGAGCCTGAGGCAGGTCCCCAGGAAGACAAGAAAGGAAAACAGAGCAGCATGAGCTCCACAGAACACGGACGTTGAAAGTTCCTCTGAATCCCAGACAAGCTTCCTGTGCCATGTGCAGGTTTTTTTGAGCAAGCATCCTGTGGCTAAACAATGAAACCCAGCCATTTGAGTGATCAGAATTTATACAAAAGAAGGGAATTAAAACACATTTCTTGGCTGCAGAGTTAGCTGAAATTCTCTGAGGCTCCCTGAATGGCTGATCAGGATGCACTGCCATTGGCAGTTACATAATGGACTCCTGTGGAGCAGCAAAAAGTAATAGCTGCAGAGATTTTTCACAGATTAATACCAAAATGCAGGGGGCTAAGGATGAACTGAGCTTATAAAAACCCACTGGAGCTGGGAGAGACTGCTACTGCTCCAGAGCTCCTGAAAAAAATCTGTGCTGGATGAGGCAGGAAGAGAAAAGAGCCTCAGAGCAACAGAGGTTGGGCTGGGTTTGGAAAGGTAATTGTAAAGCCCAACAACTCCAAGATCACAAAATGGTTTTGCTTGGGAGGGACCTTAAAGCTCACCCAGTCCCACTCTGTGGGCAGGGACACCTCCCACTAAACCAGGTTGCTCCAAGCCCCATCCAACCTTCCCAGGGATGGGGAACCTGCAGGCCCCCTGGGTATCCAAACACCTGCAGTTCACTTACCAAGCAAATCAAGGTCTCAAAAAAAAAAAAAAAAAAAGGAGAGGAGGCTATAAATTTTCATAGCTGAACAAACTGCCTGAAGAATTAACTGTTCAACTGGGGAAATGGAATTTTAGATTTGCCAAGGTTATGTTTAATTTTAACGGCATTGAAACTACTTTCCCATTATTTCTCAAATAATTAAAATTTATGCTAGACTGACACTTCATTTGGATGTCTTGGGCTCTTCCTCAACCCTGGTACTCCCCAAATCTCTGGACAATTGAACAAGCAGGCTTTCCTCAGAGCTGATGGACTGTAGGGCTGGGAAGCAGAAGAGTGGATTAAAGGATGAGCAGCAACCATGTCTCCACAGAGAACCTGGTTACAGCTAATCCAAAAATGCTCCTGCATGTCACACTCAATCCCAACACCACAGCACATTTTTATCAGCTTTTGGCTTACAAAATAACCCCACAGGTTTTGTAAATCCCATAGAAAGACAGAATTTGTCTTTTTTTAAATGCTGCTTGAACAATTCTTCCAAACAGTTCCAGCCCGTCAACTTCTCCAAGATGGAGCCATGTCCTACCTTTCCAAAGCAAGCAGGATTTATGCAATAACATCACAATGTACTGCTCACTCCTCACTCAGTACAACACAAGAGCTCCTCCCCCCCAGCTGGAACTGCCCCTCTACCACCTGCAGGTTTCTTCCTGACATGGCAGGCTCACCTGAAAAATCTGGCAGCCCTAGGTGTAGGGAAGGAAATGTCCTGCTCACCCCAGGACTGCTCCTTCCAGAACAGGAGCAAAGCCCTGCTGTTGTCCTGGGGCTCTTCAGCAGCCAAACAACAGGAAGGTTGATGCCAGGAAGTGAATAACCAGTGTGTTAAAATACAAATCATCTCCACAGTGACCAAACCCAAGAGCAGTGAATTTCTACCACCATCACTGCAGCAGAAGCAGAACTCAGCCCCATCAGAACAGATCTTTTCCCAACCAGCCCACAGACACTGTGATGTTGATGCCCCTCTCTCTGTACCTTGTACTTCTGCCTCAGCTCCTCGGTGTCTTCCTTCTCCACCTCCAGCACTCGCCTCCGCTCTGTGGCATCCTCGGCGTAGTCGAGCTGTTTTAAAAAAAATAGAGAAGAGATGCAATTTGGTCCATAAATACATTGCACTACCAAATCTACCAGGAAGCACAACTTAACAACTTCAGCTGAAACAGAATCAATGCAAGTTGTACTTTGCTTTCCCTGCTTTGTCACCCCAAGTGTAAAACAGGTCCTTAATCCCTGTGATGTGGAGGGCCCTAGCAGGCCCATGACAGTTTTGGAGAGGGGAAATCTCAGAGCCCAGAGATTTTGGGGAGCACCCAGAGCCCAGAACTCAGGCTCACAGGGATAAACAGAGGATGCATTTTGCAGACAAGCGTTTTCTTACTGTGCTGATTCAAGAGCAAGTTGTTCTTTGCCTTGGATGAACAAACTCTCACTTTAAATGTCTCTCCCTCCCACTCCCCAGAAGCCCTGCAGGGGTGAGGGGAGCTCACCTCCATCTCCATCCGGCCCATGCCCATGACATCATACTTGACAACGATAGGGATGGGATCTGTCCTCCCTGGAAGAGGAACACACAGAGAGGGGTCAGCAGCAGCCCAGCACCACAGCTCACTGTACACATTGGGTTTGGGTGGTTAGAGATCTTGCCTTGGAGTGCAGAGACCAGAAAGCTACAGTGAACCAAACACTAGCCATTCTCACAGCTTACAGCCAACCCTGCGTCCAGCTCCAAACGGCACCCAGGATGATAAATGCATTTTTCTGAACATTAACTGCTCATGTAAAAGCTTCTCATGGTTAATGTTCCCCCATGACAAGCCCTGGGGCAGGGCTGATAACAGGACTTGAGTCTTCTCCTCAAGGCTTCCACATCAGGCTCCTCATCTTCCCATAAGAGTGAAGAAGCTGCTAATCACATTGCACTGCTGCAGCTCATGAATAATCAATTAGCATTTCCCTGTGAGAGATGTGGAAGCCTCCCTCCCGCCAGCTCTTGCCCTCCCCAGGAGCAAGGAATGTTGAAGAGAAAGATGGCACAGAAGCCAAACTTCCCCCATCCCAGCCACCCAGCCTGGGCCAGGGGTGGGTCCCAGCTCCCCCAGCCCTGGAGTGATGCTCTGGCCCCACCGTGTCACCTGTAAGCTGTGAAAAGGACTGGTTGCGAAGAAAATTGACTTTGAACTAATCAAACTATGCTGGAGATTTATTTTTTTTTAAAAAAACATATCTTTAATCCACTCATAACCAGCCAAACAAAGCAAAATGGGGCAGACAAGCACTTTACTACCACAGCTTTTTTTTTTTAAATTATTATTATTTTGATTTTTACATCACAACTGGCACTGGTGGTTGTGATGTAACCCACTGACAAAGTACTTACCTTCTCCAGTGCAAACCTTGAGTGAAAAAACAGAATGTTTACTTCCCTTATTATTGCTCTTGCTTGGTGTAAACAACTCTTTTGTTATACACACATACACAGGTATTATACCTTTGGGCTAAAAGATCCACACGTTGGAGTCACGCCGAAATATTCCATTGCCATCTACATGCGCAAAAGGTTAGTCTTTAAAACTGCCTCAGAAAACCTGGATAGGTGTAAACTCTTTGCCAGCATCAGCCATAATTTCTGCCAAAACCACAGCCCTAGAGGGGCTTTTGAATCTCAAAGTACAGACATGTGGTTTTATTCAGAAATAAATCCATTTAATTAATTACTTTACGGTTTTGTTGATATGCTCAGGAATTTGATAGGCAGGTATCCACCAGGTCCAAAAGTAGTGATCACATTGATCTGAAATGGTTTGGATTGAGCTTTCCTTTGGATATCTAATGCTCATCTTTGACAAGGTTTCTCTTATGCCCAATGGTATAATACAGTAAGCAGTGACTGCAATTTTTAGCAAAAGGACCAAATTAAAGACAGGTTATAAAAATGACTTCCTGGGTGCAATATCACTTTCATAACGTCTCAGCCAGGGATTTACTGGTAAGTGGTGATCCCAAATGGAATGGCTGGCACCAAGTGCCAACAATTTATTGTTCAAATTGTTTTCAAGCTTTTTTCTTTTTTGTTTTGGTTTGGTTTTGGTTATTTTGGTTCATTTTTGTTTTGCTTCTCCAGCAATTGAGATCTTTCGATGCAGCCTCATTGGCCTGGTAAACCCCTGTACACAAACAATGCATCAGTACTTTTGCCTTCTAAGGCAGTCAAAGTTTTTTGGGTTGTTTTTATTAAATTCAAAATCTATTTGGAAATTGCAGTAGCAAGTGCTAGTGCCCATCGTGTTGGGGGGGAAAAAAAAATCAAGTTTGGACAGTATTAAAAATTTATGTTTAAACTGATTTTGGCAGTTCTAACACAAACAGAAACATCCCTTCTTAGCAATACCCTTTAATGAACAAGGATCAGACAAGTGTGCATAAAGAAAGGAAAGGAAAGGAAAATGAAAGACCAAGCAGAAGGATGATGGCTACAACAGAGAAAGTAAGCCTAACATTGGTGCACTGATGACAAAGGAGTAATTCAGTCTGAAAATAAAAAATTACCACTGCTAAGTTTACCATCACCACAACAAGTCCAGGATCATAACGCTGTAAAAAAGAAACACCATTTGTTAGGCAGAAACCATTAGGGGCAGAAAATAGGCCGTTTGGCAGGGAGGATGGGTAAAAAAATAATAACAGGAGGCTTCTTGCTCACCCCTCCACCCCATGACCGTGCTCTGCCCTGCAGAACCAGGGAGCCACTGGAGCAGCTCTGACTCCTGCTGGGTGCTGGGAGAGCTCCTGGGGACGGCCCCGCTCCGAGGAGGCACTGAGGCACATGTAAGCAGGCAATTTAAAAAGGAAACAAATCAGGATCTGAAGGAATAACAAATATTCTGGGCCAAAAGGAACTCTGCTTGCAGGTAAGAGGAGAATATTCCATGCAAAAAGTGATGCCTCTGTTTTAAACTGAACCATCATTTCATTATGAATGGAACCTCATGTGTGGCATCCAGGTGACAAGTGGTACATCCAGGCATGTAGCACAGTTATGGCAGCAGTGCCAACCCCACATGGATCCCCCTAGAGCCAGCTGGGGAAGCAGGACATGCTGCTGGGCACTGGGGTAGCCTTGCTCCTTGTCCAAGGAAAGCCACGATGGTGAAGGGACAGGGACAGGCTCAGGGCCACCCCCTGCCTGCTGGCTGCCAGGTGGGACATGGGGAGCAGCCAAAGGGGGAAGAGTGCGACTCTCCAAGCTCAGCTCATGACTTCTCCTTTGAAGGAACTTCCTCAAGGAAAGCTTGTCCTACTGCTGGCCATGACAATGGGACCTTTCCCAGCAGGTAAACATGGCTTGGACCTTGGGAGCCTCCCAGGTTTGGGGTCCCTGCTGAACCTTTCCTGTACACCAGCATGCTTTGGAGGGAGCGTGAGATTCCAAGGTCCAGAATTCCCACAGCTCCTGCCACTCAGCAGGGCTGCAAGCAGTGCCACACAGAGGGCTAATTCCCAGGGCAAATCCTGCTGTGTCCCTGTCCCAGCCCCCTGCACCTCGTGACATTTATTTTCTTTTTGAGGCAGGTCCCAAACTCCCTCACAGACTGGTCACTGCACAGGCTGCAGACCCCAAAGCAGAGAGGGTTATTGCATAAAACATTTCCACACACAGGGAAAATCTCATGGAGAGGACAGAGCAGGAACCTCCAGCAGGATGGAAAAGATAAACAGCTCACTCAAGAGTCGCACCTTAGGAAACCCAATCTCAAAGGAAATTAGGTTAGTAATGATTCCCTGCACTCAGAAATGAAATGAGATTCCCAAACTGACCTGCTGTACCTGTTTTGCTTTCCTCTCCCCAAGAAATGGGAAAACCTTTCTCCCAGCTTGTGAAAAATTGCTCAGACCCAAACAAACCCTGACAGTCATCCCTTCCCAGAGCCCTGCAGTGGCAAGGAGCACGTGGCCAGGCAGGCTTCTCCAGATTCCCTTCTTCTTAACTGCATAAAGCTTTTGGATGCAAGCAAATACTTCCCCCCTGGTGCTATAAATGAGTAAATTTTGGGAAGATTCATCCTCAGGCTTCAGGGCTTTGGTATCAGACACAGGTCACGCTGCATATGGAGGACTGTGGGCTCAGGGCCATGTTCTGGCTCTGGATGTGGCATGGATGATGCTCTGCCCTCTGGAATGGGAATATCCCAGCTGGAGCTGCCATCTGAGCCTGCCTGGAAATGCCAGCATTGTCAACACCAGCCCATGTTTTATCCATTTTTTAACAAGTCAAAGCAGAAAACAGTTTTCATCAGATTTCCAGATTCAGAGGAACTCCTCCCTCCAAAAACAGCATAATGGCAATAGAATCCCAGAATGGTCTGGGTTGGGAGGGCACTTAAAAACCACTTCCTCCATGGAACAGGGACACTTTCCACTAACCCAGGTTGCTCCAAGCCCCATCCAACCTGGTCTTGGACACTTCCAAGGATTCAGGGGCAGCCTGAATTCTGAGTACCCTGTGCCAGGGCCCCACCAACCTCACAGGGAAGAGTTTCCTCCCAATATCCAATGTAAATTGATCCTTTATTTAATTTGTAACATCTACTTCTTGTCCTATTCCAACAGGTAAATTTCTCTGTTAAAGGGGCATTCAGATATAACAGAATGAAAAAAAGTACCCCAAGAATTCTATGCTAACATAATTCAATCAAATCTCTTCCAGTGTGTCCCTTATGCACAGCGTGTAAGCACCACAGATGTAACACAAGAACTGTAATCCTGCTTGTTTTGTTGACATCCTCATAGAAATTTCCCCCAGGTACAAGCTTTGTAGGATCCAATCCTAGAGGAATGATTGATATCACACTTGTCACTGGAGGAGAATTTCATAAACTCAGCATCTCCAGGGGACACAGACAACAACAACTGATCTTGTTGGACATGGAGGATTTCTCCTTATTTGTTATCTTTATGCTGCAACTGAAACCCACAGTAAGACACAACCTTCCAGGGGCTTCTAGCTGCTCCTGGCAAGGGACTCTCACTCAGCTGCATGCAGGGCAGGTTCCTGACCACAGCACAGGGGTGGATAAGGGCTGGTTTGTTCAGTCAGTACAAACCTCACTGCAGGCTCTGGAAGGGAAACAGGTGCCTGGAGTCAGCAACCAACACCTACAGGAATGGATCCACAGGGATAGGGCTCACCTTCAGCTGCACTGTCTGGGACGAGGGAGACAGGGAGGAGTCCTGAGCTCATGAATGAGTTGCACTTTTAAAGGTGAGAATTTTGCAATACTCAACACTCCTGGGACTGTTTCGATACAGCATGGGGGGCTGGCTCTGCTTCCAGGGAACAAGTGACAGGACAAGAGGGAACAGCCTCAAATTGTGCCAGGGAAGGTTTAGGTTGGATATTGGGGAAATTTCTTCATGGGAGGGGTTGTCCAGCCTAGGAAGAACCTGCCCAAGGCAGTGGTGGAGTCCCCATCCCTGGAGGGATTCAAAAGCTGTGCAGATGTGGCACCTGGGGACGGGTTAGTGGTGGCCTGGCACCACTGGGCTCCCTAAAAGTCT